GTTATATTTTTTTCTCTTTCTTTTTCTTGAATTACATTGTCATTATGTATTTTAACATGTAATATATTCAGTGTTGCCCTCACATGTTCACGTGACTCTTTATTATTATTTATAATTATACAAATGTATTTGTCTCATGTTTTTGTATTATAAATATGCAAACTGGGATATATATTCAATAAAACTTGAAACTTGAAGCTTCTGCAGACGATGTTAATGCTTTCAAATTACCAGAGCTGCCAGGTCATTCAACTTTTTTTAACACAATGCTCTTAGTCACGCATACAACTGTACGTGAATTAAATTCAATATAATTCTTGTATATTCATTTAAATTGCACATAACTTTTATATGTTTTTTCCTCTAATGATTTCTAATAATAATAATAATGATTTCTAAGCTGCATGCCTCCAGATGAACCAAAATATTTCAAGAAAATTAAATGTAAGAAAAAAGGACTTTTGTTTATAAGAACAGTAAAAAGATTCAATACTATGACCGATTTAGCAGCATTTTTCACCATATTTCTATTGCGTTACTACGCAATAAGGACTATTTTTGCATATTTTGACCTCTTTCTGGCAATTTACATGCGTTGTATGTGCTATTTGCAATGTGAAAATTATTTTCTTTATTCACTTCACAATATTTTATTTTTTAATACATTTTCAAAATTTTCATGAAAAGTAGCATGAATCTGGAGGCGTGCTGCTTTAATGGCTGTATCTGTCGATTTTGATGTGTCAATATTAACAACTGGTGTGTTCTCCATTACTGTGAGCTCCACTGGTCATGTGATAGGCTCGGGGGTACCAGAACCTCAACATGGGCTATTGCCGCAAAACAGCAATCAGCGTTTATTGGCGGTGTATCAGCAGCAGGTCGAGCATTCAAAAGAATGCATGTCTTCCAAATGTAAACAACGTTGAAGTTAAAATTTATTTCAAAAGTAAACATACAAGTATATATCGATTGACAATGAATAAAAAAAAACTTTGACATTGTATAATAAAGGTCTTTTTAATCGTCGATTATTCCAAACATATTTTTCGACGCAATAAATTTTGAATACGTATATCTCGAAGAAAAAATATTGTAACAAATGTTGTAAAAACGAATATTCGAATATATTCTAATATGGAAAACGAATATTCGAACATCAAATTCATTATACGTTCCCAGCCCTAAAATATATGTATCACAGTAAAATAGATAAGCAATAAAAAGTCATCAATAATAAATAAAAGCAGAGATTTAAGAATTATCACTTAATTACTGATATTAGTAGCATTACAGATTGTGTTGAATGCGTAACAAGGAATAAACTGAGTATATAGTAAGTACAATGAAATAGATTACATTATCACACAATCAAAGTATACAATTTAAATGTTGAGTCACTGCATATAATTCAAAATTAAGAAAATCTTATAACATAAGAAATAGAAATTTCAGTACTAAATTTTACTAAAGACAACTTTAAATAATACATATCAACTATACTTAGAAGATGCTTCTTAACTCTATTTTTATAGAAATAGAATAGGCATTCCTTATGATGTGATAGAGAGTTCCGTAAACAGCAACCACTGTAACTTCAAGTCTTTTGATCAAATCCTTTCACCACAGGAACAGTATATCTCTAGCTATCAACAAATGGCTTTTCTGGACCATCAATTGGGGGACAAACTGTTACCCTGAACAAAGAGGGGTTTTGGTGAATTAAAATCACTAGAGTGAACTTTTCACTAAGATACTGAGGGGCCTTGACAGAATGGATTTTATACACATGAAACAGAGTAATTTGGTCAACCCCGTTGGCAACTGGTAACCATCCAAGTTCCAACTTAAAAAAACTGGTCAAGACCTACATGTGATCAGATCCAGAATAAACCTTATCAATTTATAATGGGTAAACTGTAACTGATGTTTCAAAGCCCGAGGCAAACCAATAAATCAAGCAACAGAGGCATTGTCAAAATTACATTGAACTAGCGAGGAGACCAGAAGTTTTTTTTCAATATCATCCAGGAACTTACTTTTTTATACAGACATTTTAAACAACCATTGGATTTTTGTGTTACCGGCATGACCATTGATTCAAAGGCACCAAGATATTTGACTTTTTCGTTAGACCCTGTTGAGTGACCATTACATTTTATATAATGTCGATTTATTCTCTTTATAGTGTCGAGTCAAAATGTAGATATTCTACTCTATATGCAAAAATATATTCAGCTAACGACGCTTACGTACATGTGCACGCATACACACACAAACTTACACGCATGTTTATATAGATCTATATCTTATTAAAAATACATAGTTAACATAATTCACTTAATGTAATGATTTGTTTTGATAAGAAAAAAGTAGAGCTACAATAGTAAGATTCCTAATCTGATAAAATTATCCGATGAAAAGTTTTAGACTTCTCTTTTTGTAAATGCAAATGCAAATATAACACAAAATAAATAATATGTCATCTAAAATGTCTCGTTATAAATGAAAACACTTTGTATAATCCTGGAAGTAAAAAATAGTGCACACCTTTAATTCCAAGTTCCTTTCATCTGAAAATATACACATATCAGTAAATGAAAATCAAAAACAATTAATATCAATGTCAGCTTTTAGTTTATCTTGAAATTTAACAATCCACACTGTGCTTACATACAGCACCATGGTATTTCAAATACTTATTTAAACTGGTAAAAAATCTTTGAACGAGATTAGAAAAAACTGTCTTACAGACATCTACAACTTTGGATGGAATAATTGTGTTCCTGTACTAAATGTGCATTATTCAGTGCAGTGCATTTCCGAGAGCCTATATTACTCGTATCATTCAAACAGGTTTGATATTGATTCTTAAATTAGACAAGCACATTTATCAATTCATTCGTATATCACCGGGTAAATATAATTGATTATTTCAAATTTTACAACATAAAACCGATGAACTTTCAGCGTTTGGACCACGCGATGTTTCAAAAGAAATCAATATCGGATCAAGCCTCATTTCAATTTCCTGAGTCCAAAACATCCATATCAAATCACACCACATTTCTGGCAAAAGTGTCGTTTTCATTTCATAGTCCAAAATCTTTATTTCAAATGCATATCATACCTCATATAGCCTTTTTTTCATTTTTTTCGAGTCTTAATTATATTTACCAAATTCGTATTGTATTCCATCTAGCCAAATTTCAATTTTCAGGGTAAAAAAATATCTATATCAATTCCTTAATGTATTAAGTTCTGTCAAAATGTCATAACTGTGAAATTTATTAATCATTAGACATTGTGTAGAACAAAACTGTTTCTATTTGACACGTACTCAACAGTACTGTAAAACATTGTAGCGCATTGTCCAATGTAGATTTGACAACTGTGTTCTCGTCCAAAATATTATAAGTGTTGAATTCAACAATGTATAATACCCTCATTGAAATTGATGTTCTGTTAGCAAAGAAAATATATAAAATAAAAGAAACAAGGATATTTTCATTATACAAATCGAAATTGGTTTCTTATTTGTTTCACATATACTTAATATTTACCTATTTCATATTCAAAGAGGTTTAGCATGGCACGCTATCTTGCCCGAATCGTGTATAACAACATACTCGATCTCAAACTTTTCGTTCCAAATATTTTCAATGAGGATACTCGGAAGGCTGTCACATATTCCCGTTGTCATGGTAACGTTTGCAACATTAGGATGGCACACCATGTCTTTCAGGAGCATCCCATTTGATCTTTCCGGAGACGTATCGTGCACCACAGGCTTCCAACAATCATAGCTTATCTCATCATCTTCTTGATTAACACTTGCACCAACGGCTAACAAAACCAAGCCATCAGTTCTCTTATTTGAAAGAAGTGCACCTGAAATAGAAAAAAGTGAGAGTTGTTCCTTGAATTGACGCACATCCATTATATCTACTGTAATTCATTTTATAATTAATTTTCGAAACTATTTTACAGTCATAACATGTTATCTCATTTATTGTCATAAATACATGTAATTAAGTTTAACAAGCAAATTACTTAAAAATTTACCAAATTCATATAAATATTTAAAATATGTCTCGTCATCTGTTATCTTTATCCAGATACTGTTGGTCTTTAAGATAAAATATGTGTCTGAGATATGTTTGTTTATTAAACAATAGTTGAACATTTATGTCACCCTCGTATGTATATATCTTAAACTAGCGTTCAGAAAGTACAACAGAAATTAAGATTGTTATTTTTGAATGATAAATCGGTGTAACGTACCAGCTCCAGCACCTGTGCCACCTACCCCGGCAGCGGCTGTTCCTCCGACCAAACCACCCATTACTGCACAAGATGCAATAATACCCACCCCTGCACCCGTTCCGGCCGTTGCCACAGCACCAGCTCCTGCTATCGCCCCGCCAGCTGTTCCTGCACCAACAGCTGTTCCCACTGCTGAAGCTGTACCAGCAACCGCGGCGGTTGCTCCAGCTGATCCTCCAACCGTCGCACTAGCAGCAATTGGCGCAATTGCTGCCCCACCAGTACATATTATAGTTACCGCAGCTGCTGTCCCAACAACCATTTTTAACCTAAAATTGATTCTCACATTTTACTGATTGTATATAGTAAGGGCTTTGCGATAAAGATATTATTAAAATCCATATTTGTTTAAACTTAAATGTTAAGATGCTGCTTAGAAGAAAAAAACACACAACTTTTCACCGAAATATATATTGAAACTGTCATTCATAATTTTCCATATTATGGAAAATGCTTTAGAACAAATATAAATGATCATGAATATTTACTAAGATTTGGAATTACTACGACGCCTTAAAGAATATTCAGGTTTTTTTACTTTCTGACAAAAATAAAATAAAATGATAGAAAATCTAAATACCCTTTCTTGTTAACTAAATATATTTGCCTCCGAATGCTCCGGGTTTTGCAGATATAAAAGACAGGTAGTAACTTTATCAAGTTACAAATTTATGGGGATTTTACAGTTGGTTTTCCAAAAAAAAAAAAAAAAAAAAAAAAAAAAAAGAGAAAAAGAAAAAAAAAACCCAAAACCAGAAATTAAAGACACGCCAAGACTCAGAAATACGAGTATATACGAATTTTTTTTTTTGGAATTTTTGCAAAGTGCGAGCATGATAAGTGGATTTTAAAAGATAGTATCAAGTAAGTGCTGATTTAAAAAATTAAATGTACAAAATAACTTGAAATATGGAACTATCTCAATGGATTAAATATAATTTTAACCTTTAAAGCAGAGTTGAATGTTAAATAATTAGTCATATAAGTAGAAAAATGTGAACAAAGTGGTACGAGTTATACGTATAACATTACTAAAAGAGAAAAAGCAACATACGACATATGAATACCTTTTGGGGAACTGTAACAGAACACTCACAATAAATACAATGTATCTTTTGAGAAATTAAAATAATAGCAGTTTTGCGGTTTAATGGGCCTTTAATTAACGTTTTAAAACAGAAAGTAATGTACTTTCTGTTTCGTATCTAATTTTAGTGTTGTCTAAAATTTATTCCATCTAAATCTAAAAATGATATCACTGGAAATTACCTTAGAATAATTGTGTTGACTGTTATTTTGGTACATCAGGTACAAATATTCAAATTATGGACTGTTATTGATAAAAGTGTACATTATTTTCACTTAGCTAGGTGATTTGTGCGGAAAAAACATAATGTACGAAAATCACGATAAGCGAACTTTGAAGTAGATGTTACATACTGAAATACTTGTTTCGGAAAGCAGAGGTTTGTTAAAATTTATTCTTACTTTCTTTTCGAACTATGAGTTTTAGACGTTATGTTAAGTTGGTTTAATGACAGTATGTATTGTCTAAAATCAATATGCACTAGTACTGTTAAAAAAACTAATTAATTTATTATATATACTTGTAAATGCGTGTTTGTGCGAACATTACGCATAATACACGCTTACGTCAATGACATGTATAAGAGTCGTAAACGAAAATAGAGGGTGTTATCATTGATAATGTATATATTTGAGTTAAAGTATATTTTGGTTAAACTGTGATTGAAAATATGTCTGAGAATCATCAATTAAAAAATGAGCACTGATCCACAACTATAAGCAGGTAAACATTTTTACTTTCGGTTTCTACAACGTATAAATAATGCGTTGTTTACTTTTATATCTATAAATATACTTAATTTAGGTCGACTTTTACTCGATATATTGGATTAAATTGTTATTTAATTAACCTGATTATACTGTCAATGCACAAAATTTATTAACGATAAGTTTCGTGATATGTACGCAGTAAGATGTGATTTAAGATATTTCTTTTCTATGAAATAATTATACCAATGGGTTTATAATATCTAAATGTCCTGCGTGTTGTAACATCGAGACAGCGCAGGTTCATACTTATTCTTACTTATATTTTCAACATTATGTTTATTCTTATATTGTTATGCTCCTCGAAAGCATATTGTCGCCGCAGTGTCCGTCCGTCTGTCTGTCCGTACAAACATATAGATACTTAGGGAACAATATGTAACAGCAAATTTCCTTTGATGCTATTCACTCAGTAAGCTCTTATGTGGCTACTTTTTCTCTTACGTGACTAAAAGAACAAAACAGAGAACAAAAGAGTAGCGACATACATACCAAACTTTTAGCCCGTCTGTCCATTCGTCCCCTTTTCTTGTCCGGGACATAACTCTGAAACTACAATAGGTATCGTGAAGAAACTTTGTAGGGAAATAGATATAATGAAAAGCTATGCTGTGCAAAAGAACTGTATATATGCTTTGCATAATTTTGGGATTATTGCCTTTTTTTCAATTTAACACTTTGAATTTTGTCTGGGACATAGCTGTGAAACTAAAAGAGATATCAACAAAAACTTTGTAAGTAGGTAGATCTCATTGGGACAATGTGCAATGCGTGCAAACGAACTGTAACTCTGATTTGCATCAGTTTGGAGTTATAACCTTTTGTTCATGTTTACACTTTGTCCAGGACAAAACTCTGAAACCACAAAAAATATCAACAAGAAACTTTGTCGGTAGATAGATCTCATTAAGTAGAAATGCAGTGCAAAAGAAGCGTATCTCTGCCGTGCCTTATTTTGGAGTTATTGTCCCTTTTCGACTTCCTACTTTGAACATTGAGTCTAAAACTACAAGAGATACTTCTATGTGTCCAAAACCTATTCAGGGAGCATCACCCAGTTCAACCGGCTCTTATTCGTCATGTTTTGTTATGTTGTGCATTTATTTTGTTAAAGTCTACTGCAGCATACTCTTTCTAAATAACATGGTTTAAGAATTAATATTCAAAATACATTCAGATTCAAATCAATAAATGTCATTTCAATGCTGTAAAATGCAATGCAAATCGAGACAAAAAAACAGAGTTTCTAAGTTGCTTCATACCCGATTTTGCCAATTTTCACTTGGCAACTTACGTTAAAATATATTGCAATAAAAAGTAAGATTAGGTCTTAAACAATTGCAACAGTAGGAATGGAACCACAGACCTTCCGTATTTTGGGCAATCACCTAACAGACTGTACTATTGCGGATATGACAACGACAGATACATTAGAATTGTGAGACTTTTGAATACATTAGTTATATACACCATATTTATTCTCGTAAACTATACATGGACATAACCGAGTGGGATCGACTATTTAAATGCGTTCTATAATGTATATAAATCAGACTATGCATGCTTTATTTTTACGAGTTGCTATATTTTCAGATTTTGATACATTATGACAATACTATCAACCGGTGTGTACTCCTTTACTGTGAGCTCGACTGGTCACGTAATACCAGCAGCAATAGGCTCAGCGGCTGGTGCTGTAGTAACGGGTGTTAAATTGATGATTCAGACAGAACCTTTAGCTGTAGCATTATCGTCTGCTGTGGGTACTGGGACTTCAACAGGTGCCATTGCAGGGGCCATTGTAAGCAAAACAGCAACCAGTGCAGGTATTGGAGCATTAATTGGCGGTATATCTGCAGCAGGCATGGGCTCTGTGGCGGCTGGTGGTATTGCCATGACAACAGGACTGTTGGTGTCAAGCCCGTTAGGACTACTGACCGTGGGAACCAGTCACACGACGGAAGAAGGAACAATTTCACAAGATTGCTGGAAACCAGTCATTGGTGATAATACACTAGAACCGTCAAAAGGCATGATGCTAAAGGACCTGGTGTGTCATTCTAACGTTAGCAGAGTTGAAGTTAAACACGAAGGATGTTTACCGCAAATCTTCATTGAAAATGCATGGAATGAAAAGTACGAAATAGAATATGTCATATTACAAGACGATGATTAGATGTATTGTCATGCAAAACTGCTGTAATACACGCAATGATACAAAACGTTGCAAATAAGGTTTTGTAAACAAAATTGAAATAGTGTTAAAGTAAAAACATACCTATGCCTTACATCCTATCTAAGGAGAAATTAAAAAGGCTAGAGTCAATGCCAATTGTAAGGAAACTTAGAGCTGTGGGTTAAAATACCATATGGGTCAACTATTTTTTCTCTTCGTCTTTTTCTTTGACTCGGATATTTTTTTTATAAGGGAAGAGGCGTTTAAGATTAATTTTATTGTTTTCATAGGTATTTTATGTATAAAAAATCTGAATTTATTTAAAAATAAACGTAATTGATACCTGATATATCAAATAAAATTAAAACTGCATGGTGAAAGTCTTTTATATCATAAAGGATATTTGGGCAGTTTTTGAAATAAGTCTCTCTAATGAATTTTGAATAAGGCACTCATTGCAAGGAAATGGTCAAATAAGCGTTTAAAATGCGTGAGATAGGTAACAGTTTTAAAATTTTGAAACCGTTTCAAATATTTTGAATTAAAGCAACTATTCAGCATACATGCTCTTGTTAGCTGAATGTTATTCATTGTTTCTTAACAATAATAAACATGTAACATTTTTTCGTAAGGATGATTTTGCATATTATTTAGTGTTTCCTCATCTCTGAAAAAGAATCCTTCTAATGTCCTAGCTTTAGTTTTGAAACATAACGGAAGTACAAAACAGTACGGTAAACCTTATTTGGGTTACCATATCTTTTTTAAGTAATATACCACCTAGTTTATAACTCGATAAAACTGTAATTTTATGATATATTTCTTTGTTTTAATTGATACAAAAGCAAATTCTTTGGTGAAACTAAATGTTGAACTATTATGTCTATGAATATCAAATGTTATGAATGTTTATTCCGGATGTGAGGATAAAAAGGCTTCTGTTGTTTCTTTTATCTGTTTTTCGAAAATTGACCTTTGTATTACCTGTAACAGTTATTTGTGTGAAGGTCATTTTAGCTAAATATATTTTTTGTTGTTTTTTACATTTCCACTTTTAAAGCATTAATTCATGATATACTAGACTAAATTTCTATTACGTTTTGTTTTCATTCTTTGTGGAACTCTAATACTCGTACTACAGGTTTCTTACAGTTGTCACATGGTGAGAAAATGTGAAGCCTAAACGGGACTCGAACCCGGGACCCTCTGAATACCGTACCGCGGCTCTACCGACTAAGCAATCCGGCCACTTACACATTTTCTCCCCTAAATAGTGAACAATTCTGAACTTTGAGACATTTTCCCCCGTTATATTAATATTCGGCATCAAATTTTACAGAGTAACAGGGCAAATGTCACAGGGTGTGAAATGTGTTTTCTCCCCTAAATAGGTAACAGTTCTGAACCGTGACACAGTCATAGCATATTTCTTCATTTTCCTGATGAACACTTGCACCAACGACTTTAAAACCCATTGTACTAGTGCTCAAAGAATGCATTTGCTATTAAAAAGAGACTTGTTCCTTGACTTAACGTATTCTATTCAAATTTTGACAGTAAATATCGAATTTTCCAGACAAAAGGGATATACGTTAATTTTATTATTAATAGGCCTTTAGAAATGCGATAAAAATGGGATACTTCGGTTAAACGTACCAAGTCCTGTACCAGAGCCACCTACTTCGGGGGCTGGGGAGGATCGTGGGTGTTACTCCGGTTAAACCGCTAACAACTGCACCAGTTGCTGCAGCAACCGCCTATGTACTCATTATGGCTTCTGCTCCAGCTCCGGCTATCGTTCCTTTAGCAATTCCTACACCAGCATCTTTAATGCGATATATGTTGAAATGAAAATTGCTTAAGAAAAAGTAAAATAAATCGTGGTTCCTACGATGATTTAATACGTAGTTTTATATGCTAATTTATCTTAAATCGTGATTTTAGCTTATTGGTGAAGCATACTTACTTTGTAAAGAACCAAAAGAAAAAATACTCATAATAATCTAGGAGTCATTGGTTCGCTCATCGGGCGAGTCAAATTTTCTCTGTTACAATTATCTCGGATATTAAAATCTTATTATATACCCCTAAAAGACACACAAATCTAGAAACGCGAAACGCTTCAATGGATAGAAAATTCCGTATGATGTTATGACAAAGACAGTACCATATATGGAAGTGCAGGAGTTGGCTCCGTTCTTAGCTGTGCAGTACACATTCCGTATATACTACATTTTTACCGATACATGTATACGGTAAAAAGCCTGGGTTACCGAGGATGAGCTGTAGTAGCATTTGGAAACGGGAACCAAAATTATTAAAGTCGTGGCCGGTTATGCAAAAATTCGTATTAATTAATCCGTCATTCATAAATTTATTTCTTGACAGTCACATTTCAATTTCTGAAATTACATATATGAAACTCCTTTTTACGAAAAATGAATATGTACATAATAAAAGGAAAATGATGTTGTAGCAGCTGTCTGAGGCCATGTATTTGCTACTTGCAACTTTGAAAAATTGATATCTCACTCGACTTTCGGTCTGGCGAGATATCAATTTTACAACGATGCTCGTAGCAAAATACAAAGTCTCGGAAAGCTACTACAACATAATATTCTGTATTGATTGACTTTTGCCTTACCGCTGATCTAAGAAATCATATTAGATTAGTAGCCGGTTACTTGCGGAGATATTGCCGTCGAGATTAGCCAAAAATGTGTTAAAATCGGCATACAAACCAGAAAAAAGAGAATGTTTCAATAAGCTTATAGCTTCCAACACAATCAAACTAAAATATATTTGTATAAACTAAACTAACTAACTAAAAAAACAACAAGTATATGCTAACAAGATCAACATAAAGTTACAAAATATCTAATTATCTTTTTCCTGCTTACTAAAATAGGTAGGTGTCGCCAACATACATGGTAATAAGTATTAATTTATTAAATTAAAAAATTCTTTGACATTTAACAGCTTATTTTCCGAAAAGAAAATCGTTATTAGGAAATTATCTGTTTAACATTATCGGTTGACCTTTATCGATATCATATAATGCTAAAAAGATAATGACGTGTTTTTGTTTCAAATCTAATTAGAGTTGCAATCAATGGTTTTCTAAATTTTTGTCATAGGAAACTACCTTTAAGATTGAAACAGTCAAAATTTTTGTTTATGATTAACAAGGACTAAATTCACCTCTAAATTTAAAGACAATTAACACAAATCCTTGTTTTTTTTAGTTTTTTTTTAAAAGTATATCATCGGAAATAACCTGCATACACGCTTACGAATCTAATTATAGTGCCACGAATCTAATTATAGTGCCAAGTAATGGTTTTCTAAATATTTGTCATCGGACAATCTCGTAAAAATTGGAACTGTGTATAATGGTTTATTCTCCTTTTTTTTTATTTAGCTCACCTGAGCTATCTCAGGGTGAGCTTTTATGACCGTTGAATGTCCGTCGTCTGTCAGTTTGTTCGTTTACACACATGTCGTCACATTTTTGCCTCAACCATCATCAAACTTTGTCAAGATGCTTGTCTAGGTAATTGCTGGGATGAGTTGAACTTGGTCATCTCGGATGAAAAACTAGGTTATAGGATCTAAAAATAGAAAAACATTGTTAACACTCTAGTGGTCAATTTCTTTTCTCAGTTGTCATCAAACTTGGTCAAGATGCTTTTCAAGGTAATTCCTCGGTTGAGTTCGAATATGGGTCATCTCGGATGAAAAACTAGGTCACAGGAGCTAAAAATAGAAAAAACTTCTTAACACACTAGGGGCTTCTGTTTTGATTCAAATATCCTTGAAATTGGTCTGAAAGTTTGTTTCGAATAATATTTGGATCAAGTTCGAATATGGGTCATCTAGGGTCAAAACTAGGTCACATCGTCCAAATATGGAAAAACCTTGTTTACACTCTAGTGGTCACCTTTTTGACTCGATTGTCATCAAACTTGGTCTGAAAGTTTGTCTAGGTAATTACTGATATGAGTTCGAACATTTGTCATTTAGGATTAAAACCTAGGTCACAGGAGCTAAAAATAGAAAAATCTTGTTAACACTCTAGTGGCTACTGTTTTGATCCAAATATCCTGGAAATTTGTCTGAACGTATTTTTTGATGATTTTTAGGGCACAATATAATGTGTCATCTTGGTTAAAAACTAGGTTATTGATATTTTTGAAACCATTAGACCTACGTACTTTTTTTGATGAACAGACTTGAAATTTAAACTGGACCAGAAATGTAATTTCTGACGCCGAATTGAGCTTTAATATCAACTTACCTTCTTTCGATATTAATGATATCGTTTGACCTAGTTTCTTGTTTTTTAATGTACAACCAGGGGTGTAACTTTTGATGCCGAATAGAATTTTGATATCGGCTGACCTACTTTTGATATTTTTGATATCGCTTGACCTACTTTCTTGCTTTTCGACGTACAGACATGGAATTTGGATCAAGGGTGTTATTTCTGATGCCGAGCTGAGTTTAATGCTTCCGAGGGATCACTTTGTTTCCAGAATTTTGTACTTCACAACAGCAGGTGTCAAGTGCCGTGTGGCAGCCGTAAAAAGTTGCCCCGTACTTCACTTCAGTGTTGTTATATTTTCTGGTCCTTCGGGATCATTGATGCCAGCACTATAAAGTGTTGAGAATTGAGTACCGCTCAAGCCGGTGCTAGGGGGCGTGAGGGATGTTGCACTTATTCATTATCCCTCATGTACAGACTCAATCAAACCGAGTCTGCAATTCTTATGTTATTTTGTTGTGATTAATGCTTCCGAGGGATCACTTTGTTTCCAGAATTTGGTATTATCTGACCTATTTTTAAAAAAATTCATTTGACCTACTTTCACGTTATTTGACATACAGAATTTATTTTTGACCAGAGGTGTAATTTTTGATGCTGAATTGAATTGATATCAGCTGACCTACCTCTATTGTTTTATATCGCCTGCCTACAATGGAATGATGGGTCAGGTGAGCGATCCAGGGCCATCCTGATGCTGATGATGATAATGATGATGATAAACAT